ATGTCGTCCGCCTCGATTGTTGCCTTGACTCGAGAACACAATCACCGCACGTTTTATGCTAACAGAATAACAATATAGTTTCCGTGTGGGCAACATTTTGTCTTGTGTCGACGGTGTCTGTGTACCACGAACGGTACTAGTAAAAACACATTATTATTAAAAGTCATGCACGGTAGTTACGGAGCTATATTACGAAGATCTTGATGATATTTACATCAGACGGTTAAATTTAAACAATACTCCCGCTAAGTGTTATTATATACAACTTGTAAGCAATTAATAATGAATTATTAATTAATAATTTCAGTTAATTGAACAATTTAATCTTGATAATATTGGAGGCTTGGTTATCATTCGTTTGAATATGTTTTGGACGAGTGCGTAAGGTCAGACGGTCATTCATTAAATTAAAATAAGTAATTATAGTGTTGTTATGAAAGTCATTCGAGTACTGCAAACTAAACCGTGCGAGGTTGAAACAACAACCGTAATTGATGCCTGAAGATAATTACACATACAATGACATACATTCAGTAAAATTATATCCCATAATATTTATCGCTACCTCTCAACACAGTGTAGAATGTATTAAAATGTGCACCTAACCACGGACAACTGTTACCTTGGAAACACGACCCTAAGATATTAATATGCGACAGCAAAAACTCGATTTACTTAATTTTGGAAAAAGAACCTTGAAATTATTCTGCAAGACAGGTACATCGGGGAAAAAATCGCTTGCGCATGCGCACCAGAAATTGAGTTTTATCTGGTAATGACCAGTAACTGTATTTTTTCGATGTAGGTTCATATTATTAATCGCGTCACATGATCCGTTGCACCTGGGTTGTCTGTATTATTATCACGGAGTAGGTTAGGAGGGAGCAAAGGCACCGCGTGTAAGTGACACGCATTCTGTTACAGAATCAATAGGGATAGAGATGTTAGGCAAACAAACAGTCTAGGTCGGCATTAATTACAGTTACTTAGCGGGTAATGTTACAAATTACTAGTACTACAACTGAATGGTTCAAATTAAAAAAAAACTATAGGAACAATGAATTTTAATGGTAAACTCATGTCCAAATAAAATGGGCAGCTTTATGTGACCGAGATTTGAGATACTTAAAAGTTGGTGAAAACGAAGATATATTAATGTAGTAGAATGGAATCATCATAGTGGTAGACTCAGGGGTGGGGTACTACTCCGCATATTCAATGTTCAGACATATCGTAAAATATTGGATATAACTTTTTGTGTTGTGTTAAAATAAAAACAATAATGTCATACAGTTATACGAAAGAGTAATTCTCTGACATCATCAATGCAATGTTTTAACCCCGGCCCTGTGAGTTGTTTATAGTATCACGATGTCAGAATTAGGTCATGACATGTATTATTATTCTGTCCTATGCAAAGGTTGAACTCGATAATAAAAGCGAACTACAATGTATTTAATATACATCGGCCAGGATGGTAGTTGTGTGTGGTGGTGGTGGTAGTAGTGGGGACTGGTGTGGTCGTGTGTGATGAATTTTAAGTCGCTGTAATTTTATGTAAAAACAAAACGTTTTATTTACTATTAAATATTGTACGTTTAGGTAATGGTATATACAAAAGTTTTCATAAGAGATCTCTTTAATTTTAATTTACTTATTGTTATGTTGCCATGATAGTGAATTGTTGTTGTGTACGACACACATGTTTAGTACTCTTCGCCTTCCTCCTCGCCTTCGCCTTCGACCGAGTCGACACCGACCTCTTCGTAGTCCTTCTCTAGGGCTGCCAAATCTTCACGTGCCTCTGAGAATTCACCTTCCTCCATACCTTCACCGACATACCAGTGAACGAAAGCACGCTTGGCGTACATCAAGTCGAATTTGTGATCGAGACGAGCCCAGGCCTCGGCGATGGCTGTGGTGTTGCTCAACATGCAGACAGCACGCTGTACTTTAGCCAAGTCACCGCCTGGTACAACGGTTGGTGGTTGGTAGTTGATGCCTACTTTGAAACCAGTTGGACACCAATCGACGAACTGAATGGTACGCTTGGTCTTGATGGTAGCGATGGCTGCGTTGACGTCTTTTGGTACAACATCACCACGGTACAGCATGCAACATGCCATGTACTTGCCGTGACGTGGGTCGCATTTCACCATCTGATTGGCTGGCTCGAAGCAGGCGTTGGTGATCTCAGCGACAGATAACTGCTCGTGGTAGGCCTTCTCGGCGGAGATGACTGGTGCATATGTAGCCAATGGGAAGTGGATACGTGGGTAGGGCACCAAGTTGGTCTGGAACTCAGTCAAGTCGACGTTGAGGGCACCATCGAATCTCAGAGATGCGGTGATGGATGAGACGATTTGACCAATCAAACGGTTCAAGTTGGTGTAAGTTGGACGTTCGATGTCGAGGTTACGACGACAGATATCGTAAATAGCTTCGTTGTCAACCATGAAAGCACAATCAGAATGCTCGAGGGTGGTGTGAGTGGTCAATATAGAGTTGTATGGTTCGACGACAGCGGTGGAGACCTGTGGAGCTGGGTAAACAGCGAATTCTAACTTGGACTTCTTTCCGTAGTCAACAGACAGACGTTCCATCAACAAGGATGCGAAACCAGAACCGGTGCCACCACCGAAGCTGTGGAAGATGAGGAAACCTTGGAGACCAGTACATTGATCAGCCTGGGTGAAAGTAAACATAAATAACATCATAAATTAAATTATATTCAATTTTTTTCTCAAACACAAACGTATGAGCTCATAATGCAATGGTGCCGCGCCTGGGGAGTAGGGCGTCGTGCGTAGTGTGTGCATAATTGGGATAAGTCACATTGAATGGAACCCGTGTTTAACGAGTTGTGAAAACTGTCAAAGGTTGAAAAGGGGCGAGCCGCTATTTTCCCGCTGGTTACAATGGCAATTGTCATTGACCGATTGTTAACGGAAACCAAGGAACCTATAGATGAGGGATATGATTTTACAGCCCCCTCAAGATCGAAAACAACAGGCAATTGTGAAAACGGAATGTCCGAAAACGCTTAAAGTATTAAGCACGTACGACTTGACGATAATAAATTGTAGAATTCTATTGTGAGCGATTTAATTGATTGTGCGAGTAGAGATCAGTCGGTAGCCTCAGAAGGTCACCGCTATTGTTGTAGGAATCTTCCGGCGAGACGTTGCATATTTGCTCAGTCTATCATCATGATGGGCGTACTAACTTAGTACGTTCATACCTCTATCTTAGATTAGATATGAACCCGTGTTCATACATCGACATGTTTGGGTGGACTAAAATAATTAACTGGTTGAATGCCGGAATTTTCCGGTATCCCGGCTCTACATGACGATGCATAGCTGTAGGTGACGTTGTTATGCCAACATTCGTGACTCGGTGTTCTCGAGTTTGTATTTATTAACATTGTCACAACATTTTGAAATAAACATAATTTATTTAGCTTTAATATACTTAATGTATCGGATAAGAAATGTCATATTATTGTTTTCTTCACGTTTTCTATTATGTATTATTGTATCTACCAATTTAGAAGTTGTTGCTGGGCGCAGTTGCTTGGGCTATTAAACTGATCTTAGGAAACCAATAAACAAACCATATATTTTACGTATAGAATTGCAATAAAATGGCTCTATTGTTAACAACAGCCTTGTTGTCGCGGCGGTACTTTGTAAACTGACAATGACATAATCGTCTGTCTCCATAGTCGAGGCATTTAAATAAATACGTCAACTTAACAACGGCAACTTAATTATCTTTCAAATAAATGTCTTTGGAGATTGGATATACACCAACAGTTTAACCTGGTGCCCGTTCCACTATCGTTATTAACTACGCACCGAAGCTGATTATTACTCTGAATGTTAGACGCAAGCTTTGTTTGTCGTTCTTAGATTTCATGTTATGATATTTTGATGCATGAACAAAACAACTTTACGAAATTTGTCGACGCTCGTTTATGTGACGAAAAGTATATTACTCGTATCCAAAATAAGTTCAACTTACCAGCTTTCGGACTCTGTCCAGAACCAAGTCGATGATCTCTTTTCCAATGGTGTAGTGACCACGAGCGTAGTTGTTAGCGGCATCTTCTTTACCGGTGATCAGTTGTTCTGGGTGGAAAAGCTGACGGTATGTACCGGTGCGGACCTCATCTGTGGACGAAACAATACGCTGAATGCTCAATGATTTTGCCGAGTACTTGTTTCTGCTTCGTATTTACAAACACTTAATAAAAGTGCCAACACTACTGCAGGTGTGGAAGATCAAATTGATGTCTGAAAAATTGACACGTTTACCGACTACTCACCGATTACGGTTGGTTCCAAGTCGACGAACACTGCACGTGGTACGTGTTTGCCAGCCCCAGTCTCGCTGAAGAAGGTATTGAAGGAATCGTCACCGCCTCCAATGGTCTTGTCGCTTGGCATCTGGCCATCGGGCTGGATACCGTGTTCCAAGCAGTAGAGCTCCCAGCAGGCGTTACCGATTTGTACACCGGCTTGTCCAACGTGGATTGAGATTACTTCACGCTGTAGGTGATAGAAACAAATACGTACAGTGTATATTACAAGCTCACCTACTAATTCATCCGACACGTAGCGACAACATAGTGACCATCTTTTCAGAAATTATGCTCGATAGATTTCACCACGACCGCTATGCATCGAAGTGTTATTCATGATTTCTCGCTGACCTGTATTATATTTTTCAACCGAAGCAATTTCCGTCAGAGTTTTGGAAAGTGGGTTTTTACCAACGATTCTAAAATTAAAGTTCTTCCGTTGAACCTGAACCTGAATCTGAAGATCCAAAAGCGGCACTTACCATGTTGTCTTTATAAAGTTAGACGTGAGTCTTAGTACTTGATGAGTTGTTAGAAGAGTCTTACGCTGACCGTTGATCTATCGGAATCGCAAGCCTGTAATGAAACAATATCAGAAAGTAGCTGTTATATATCCGAGGCAGGCGAGGCGAGTTGCTATGGTAACACACGCTGCTATGGGCCTATTGGACGTCAGCGGTCACGTGTCGGGCGCTTAATGTTGACGATATGCTTTGACACCCTAAGCTATTTCTAAACCGGTCTGACGGCTGAATTGACCTCACTGTTTTCACACGTTGTTCTCGCAATCTCAAAACAGATTTATTGTTCAAAAATTTGTCTAATCTTATTAACAATTCTCACTGCATGCGGCAACTAACTTTTCACAAGTTCTTGCATGCGATGCGGACAATGTCGCGACGGGGGTTCTCTCAATTAACAATGCTATCCAAAAGTGCGAGTGAGTGTTAAGAGGTTACGATCGTGTGAATCGCCAGGTCGACTCAGTTGACATCAACGGTCAATAATCATACACTGTTTCACATCGCTGCCCATCCCTCTAGAGTGTCCGTCGGTCCTCGACACGTAATAATAAACTAACATGAGGGTTATGTGTGCAGTAAACTGTCTTAGCAATAAAATAATTGACTACCCAACCAAAAATGAGTGCCTTGTAGAGTACTATCATACGGGACCCCTCCAGTCGGAATACAAGCCTGGGACATTGAAATGTTTGAAATAAACGCATCACCCATAAATAGACCAATCAATCGTTGACAACTGTAAATCCTTCATCGTTGAAAAAAGGATGTTTCAAACTTCAGTAAATTTGTCATCTCATGCGTCTCACTTTTGTCTCATCAAGTTGTTTATTCCTTCGTCGAGTACTTTTATATTACAATTCATGAATGCCCGAATTTGTTTGCAATTCAACCATGTTTTATAGAAAGTACTCGCTGTCGAGGACAGTGTGTGATGGATATAAAAGATTCGTCTATTTTGTCGTCAGTTATA